CAAGAAGACAACGGAATTGAAGAGATCAAAGTTAAGGAGAATCAAGAAGACAACGGAATTGAAGAGATCAAAGTTAAGGAGAATCAAGAAGACAATGTAAATGAAGAAATCAAGGAAAGAGAAAATCAAGAAGTGAATGGAAATGAAGAAAGAAAAGAACAGGAAAATCAAGAATCGAATGAAGGTAAGGCCAGTGAGATGACAACTGAAGAAAGCAAAGAAAGTGAAAATGAAGGGAGTGGCTTGAGTAAAGAGAGTGAAACCGAAGAGAAGAAGTACGAAGAAAACAAAGAAAAGGAAAATCAAGAAGAGAGGGGAAGGGAAGAAACTGTGAATAAAGAAAGTAACGAAGATAATCATGAGAGGGAGAATGGAGGAGTTAGAGAGAAGGAGAATGGTGACAATGAGAAGGAAGAAACCGAGGAGAAACACATAGATGATGTTAATGTAGAAACCAAAGAGCACAGCAGTGAGACCAAGGAAGCTTCCAAGGATAATACCACAGGAGATAATGGTAATGAGAACAAGGGCGACAATGAAAATGAGACAGTTAAAGTAGAGGAGCCAGAACAGAAGGAAGGTAGTATGAAGGATGTAGTTTTAGCTGAAGAACAGGTTCAAGATGGGAGTGACAGAAGTAATGACGATGCAAGAGAAGCACAATACAAAGGGGATAATGCTTCCAGTGCTGTACACGATGCTCAAAACATAGCTACTGGAAATGGGCAGGATGGTTTTGCAAAACTCAGTGAGGTAGAGTCGGGTGAAAGTAAAGAAAACCACGAGTTTCAACATGAGGATGCAAGGAAGAGTAGCGAAGGTATTGATTCTGATAAAAATGAGCTGGTCCAAAATGGGAGTGATGTTGAGAGAAATGGAAACAACGAATCTGAGGTACCAGATGAAGTGATTAATAACAATGAAAAGCAGCCAGTATCCAAGGATAATGACCAGCATCAGGTTGATTCAGTCATTAGTCTCGCTTCTAATGGGGAAACTACTGTAGATAATATCAATCTTGATCAAGATACCTCCACTTCAAAGCATGTCACACTTGAAGAAAAAAATCATTTCAATTCATCTCTTAGCAGTAAACAAACAAATTCAAGTCCATCACATTCAACTTCCACTGAGAATACAGATACTTCAAATGAAGAATCCAAAGAGTCGAGTGCTTCTGGATCTGACGAATCAGATAGATACGTAACCCACAAAGAAGATGAAAATGCTGGTCATAGCAACTCAAATGATAATTCTTCAGGTCAGCAGAATGATCAAGTTAATTCTTCGTATATGTCGAACTCCCAAGACAATGATGCATCCTCGAGCACTACTGAAGGTGCTGGTGCTGGACAGAATGACAATGAGAATGTTGATCAGAGCAACGGAAACTATAATGATCAGCCGAAAGAACAATTTGATTCCCACAATGAGGGTGTCACATTTTCTGATACAAACAACAACGAGGTTCAGGTTATCACAGGTGATTCTTCAGGATCATCTTTGCCTCAGGAAGAGAAGGATGCTCGCACAGATTTGGACACCTTACCCGAGAGCAGAACAGAAGTGAATAACATGGATGAAACAGCCGCAGAGTGACATCTCCAACTAGCTGGGTAACAATATTCTCTAAACACGGAATTTACGTCATTTTGTTTGTTTTCTGTTTCGTAAGGTTCTTTATTGTTTACCGCCGCAGCATGTCCTGCCAGAAAAATATATATATACATGCAACATATATTTTTTTGGCTTTGCTGCTGGAAGAGTTTGGAAAGCTAGGATAATTTTCGAGCATTTAATGCTTCAGATTAGTACATGGTGGCCTTTTGTCGGTCAAATTTAGTAGATACCTTTGTAATCTTCTTTTTCTTCCCTAATATTTGTTGGCTAATCTCATGATGCTGCCTTGGTGGAACACCTCTCAGTATGAGTTTTCTCCTATCATATGCATATCATTATAGGATAGGGTTTTTCTCAACTCCTTTTGTCTCCATCAACTGAAGATTTCACTGATGAAGTTTGAAGGGTGAGGCAGCTGTAAACCCAACTAAAGCTTAAAATCTAAAATGAAGCAAAGTTCCAACATAAATGCGTTGGGGATATGGAAAGATAGCCGTCGAGAGAGAGAGAGACTTATGATCTATGTTAAGTAAAAGTTGCAGTCTCTGCCTTATTTTTTGCTTTCTCAATCATAACTATAAGGTGCGAAGTCTCTGTTAGCCATTTAGATTATTATTTATTTATTTAAAATTGAAAGACAATATCATACCACCAAGAAGTTGGGTTTATTGTCTTGAATTCTTAACTCAATTTTCATATTTTCTTCCCTAAAAGCTGCTTAGAGGCTACAGTGAGTTTAATCGTTTAATATAGCAAGAAAATGGGAACAACAGCTTAGTCATGAAGTGTAGGCACTTTCCAGGGGATCTTCCGACTTCGAGTTCTTTGCTATTTGATTTGAGCTAAACTACAAAAGGAAAAATATTTGATTTATGTATCAATTTTTTTCTCTACCCTTTTGTTTTGGTTACTTTTGTTGAGTTTATACCAACTAATTCTCAATTGGGCTGAGAGTCATCCAGGCTAACCGACCCAAGCCCACATGCACTGTTACTTTCCCTTTTAACAGAACAACGGTAGATTAATAGGGTCAAAGTTGAGCTGGTCAAAGTGAGACATAGCTCAACGAATAATTGATATAAGGTTGTGAGTTTAATTTCCCATCCTGACATGTTGTATTAATTGATATAAGGTTGTGAGTTTAATCTTCCATCCTGACATGTTGTATTAAAAAAAAGTGGTAGATTATTAGGGGAATGACACTAAAATTGCTTCATAATCCTCTATAATTAGTTCCATCTACTTTCAAGATTTAAAAAAATTTATTCCTTTTTACCTTCTCATACCACTCAAAAATCTCTTACAAAAGGAGAATTGTAACACTTTTAATAGTCTAAGATATTAATATGTGGAGCTCATGCCACATCTTCTATAGCTGGCTACAATTCTAATGAGGTTCACCGCCATCATTTTAGAATTTGACTTGGATCATGCTCTACTTTTAGGCTTCTGGTTATTTAACTCCACATGTCTAACCATGTGCCTATTACTTTTGACAATTCATTTAGGAATTTATTGTGGACAACGTTGCAAAGGTTAAATGTTTGATATTAAATATTTTATAAATACACAAATTAAAGCAGTAGATGAAAAGAGGGATCTCTTACCAACCAGTTCTTTTTTATCATTCTACCTATTTGCTCTCTCACTGTTGTCTTTGATTAATCTCTTGTTGTTCCCAAATTCAGTTTGTTGTCAACTTTAATTCAAATGTTGTGGTCCCAAATCTTATAACTAATCTTGTAATCAGTTACTCATAATTGTGTTGCAAATCTCAGGTGTATACCATACCATAAAAGTAAAAGGCAAATTCATTGATACGAAAAATTAAAATCACATCAGAATTATGTGAAAACTTCTAATGCTCTCTAACTACCTACTTTTTCTCGACTCTTTTGTATCCAATTTCTCATATTTTCGTGGTACTAAATTATTTTTTCCTTTTGATAGACTATTCTTTTTCTTAATCATATAAAACATGTAAATTTGTATAATAGATGACACTCGGGATCGAATCTATGTCAATTATTGCTAAGCTAGGCTTATTTTGGTTATTATAGTCATTTGAAAAAGTAGCAAAAAAAATTGCAAAAGTAGCAACCACTTTCCAATTTTACAAAAATAAAAAAATTAAGACAATCCACACAGAGAAGAAAGCAAAACTATGATAAACCTTTAACGAATATGGAGCCCATAACAATGATAGACTTATATATATATCATAATAGGAATGTTGATATACCTGTGATAAATTGATACATTACTTATCTATCTAAAATCAATCACATATATCTACTTATAAGTGCTAATATACCTGAGATTTATGTTGATATATGAATGATATATAGAGATATATATACCTGATTTTCATTATTTCGTTATATTTCATGAAATTCTGTATTTTGCAAATGTCTTACTCATTAATAATAAAGTCAATAACAGTTATGAATGCCCCTCTTGGACCGACGCGGACGAGAGTCAACATATTTGACTAATTAATGAGCTTTTTATTTCAAACTTTGGATCTTCTTCTACGCCACTTTTTCTCCGTCAACGTGGATGGTCTCCCTCAGCCACTGTCAATAGCCGTCGCCGTCGTCGTCGGTTCATTGATCGGACTACCGCCGCTAATGGTTTCCATCTTTAATCTGTCAACGCCGGCTGCCCGTTTGAGAACGCCACCGCCCCATCAACAAAAGCAAATAATTATTATTTCTGTAACGTAAAAGACAGATGACTTCATAAGGTCATTTTCCAATTCTAAGCCTTTCGAATACAACAAAAAGAAAGAGTGATATTTATTTCTGTATTAGATGAATCGGTGGGGTCAAAATTGTACCTTTATTATTCTTTTATTAACCCAAACGAAACAAGAAAAAAAAAAGAATTTGTTTCTACAGTGTGTATATTTTACGAGATGGAATAATTAAAAAGGGAGTGCATTATGTAGAGCCTAGAGGATTAAATTTCGGTATGGTGGCATAGAAAAAAGGGGGCATTTGAATGTTGTGGTTGCTGGTTTTCGTTGGCTTTTTCTTGCTGTCCACGTGGGCGCTTCTGATTGGGTTGTGGAGATTGATTTCAAAGGTTGACTCTTCTTCATTGTCTTCAAGATCGA